GGAAAGAGACCTCATTTTAGAAAAGGAAAGACAGGGAAAGAAATACAATTGTTTTGTGTGCAAAGATTGTCCTGGAGCCAGCATTAGCAGCACAATGGCCAAGGATACAGCCTTGTTAGGCATGCCTGGTATAAATGTGTAACTCCACTGCTAGGATCAATACGAGTTTAGAAGTATATCTAGCATTATAACGCCCTTTTAAATTATTCTCCTCAGCACCCTGAAAAGTGTATCGCTGATCCATGTGTCCTGTTTAGGATAAATAAACTTCCTCTGCTGAGAACTCTAGAAAGCTAATCATTATCTTTTAATTTTGGTACTGAGGATCAGTCAATAGGTCACGTCCGATTTCATAGTTAAATGACAGCTTGCCTGAAAGTAGTCAAGCTATCAGTCTACAGCCAGCCATTTCTATGAAGCGCTTAAAGCAGGTTTCTAAACTTACATCTTTTCTGTCAAGTACTTAAAAGTGGGTTTCTAAACCTTTTTCTGCTATTGGTGAGCAAAATTCTAAGTTCATTGAAGCAGTCCACAGACTCCTCCACCCCACCTACTTCAAAGCTACTGAAGCTTTGTTTGAAAAATCCTAAGTGTTCCGTGGGACTCAACTACGGCAGCTGGGGATCTACTTGTTCTGTAAAAGATAAATGTTAAGATGAGTATTTAACGATCTGCACATAATGTTCCAGGACACATTATCTCATTTAAAATGGTCAAATGACAACTTGACAAGTTGGGAGGGAAAATGAATTTGAGTGCCAATGTCGATTTTATAGTGCCGATGAAGCTCCTTACCTTAGTCCAGGTGTTTCGCGGATGTGACTATTTACACAAACTGTCATAGCAACATTCAGTGTTTAGTAACAAAATACTTGGTGATGTAAGGAGAGAATACTTATTTTTCTTCCAGGCCTACAAGCTACCTCACTGGGTTTTCATCAGTGGTTGGTTTGCTGTAAAAACATCCCCCAAACTTCAATGACTATATTCTGTTTTTTTAGCTCAGGGTAAAACACCACAGAAATCATTCAATCGTGGAAATAATCTCTGAAGATCGAGACCTTTTAATTCCTACTCATCAATAATGTGCACTTTATGTGTACAATTGATTGTTATTTTCTACTGTATTAGTCTGACCCACAATGGCCAGCTAGATAACTAGAGGCACAAACATAAGTGATGCATCCTACAGGCTTTCAGGGTAACGTGAGCTCACCCCCACGTTGAGGTTAACCCCTTCCTGTCCACTGTCGACCGCACGTTGTGCTGTAACGCGACAGCAGTGTTACCCTCCCCAAGCACACGATCCGGTGTTCGGGCTCGTTCCGTTTCACATTGCTGTTTCCGCCCAACACTCCAGTCTCCCCAGACCCTCTGCAGGGCCGCCTGTCCCTCAGGAGTCAGCAGCACCCCCAGCTGAGCACCACCGGCACGTTCTGCTCCTGCACCCCAACCACCGATTGGAATGCAGAACGGCACCAGCTTTGCTTTGCGGTCTCCGGTGTCACCTGGCGGGTGGGCGGCTGCTTTCGTGCTGGTGCAGAGTGAGAGCACGCTGCCGGGCACAGAGCTCGCTGATTTTCTACCTGGGAGTCATGGCGGTGCCGTGATGAGAGCTGTGCACACACTGAAGACTGCCACCTGCCTCGTGCAGAATAAAACTCTTGTGCCACATGTGCACAACATGGAATGG